TGGCCTTGAGGAGAGCGGCCTCCACTGAGAGAGGTCACTGAAGAGAAGTCTAGCAGGTACAGGTCACCAGCAGGAAGGAGGCTGCTGCCCTGCGGAAGGAGAGCACTGGTGGAAAGAAGCACCTGCAAAGGCATAGGTGGGCAGGACTGGTGCCCAGAGCCAGTGCAGAGACTGCCCTGACACAGCCTTTATCTTTGGGAGGGGCTCCCTCCTTTGTGGAGTGGCCTATTTGCTGCTGGTTTTGTCCACTATGTGGACTCATAAAGGGACCAGAGATTTCACAATGGGCCAATGGGTCCAATCTCTATATCTTTACCCTCAGGTCTGTGCTTTGACACTCCCTACAGGAATCTGATACCTCTTTGGGCGGTATGCCTTGTGAGAAGACCTTGTAAGAAGACACTTAAAGGTCTTGATTCCTATGGCTGGGTTGATGGTCATGTTAATCCCTCTGCCCCCACCTCCTTGTGAGTCAGGTTTTAAGCTTATGATGTCTCCTTTAGGTTTTCTATTCTTTCCTCCATCAGTAACAAAAAGGTAATTGGGGGGGGGGGGGAAGTCAGGGCCACGTAGTGAACTCCTAAAGGGCAAAGAGGAGGCATCAAAAAAAGATCAAGAAGTAGCCAAAGAGATTTGGAGAATGAGGGAAGAGCAAACATCAAACCTAAAGAATTTTAAAAAATGAGAACACATAATGGCCTCAAATGCTGCAGGGAGGCCCTCAAGGGTGGACACCAGGCTCTCGACTTAGCCCCAGGTAGAAACCTAGTTTGATGGGGCTCTTCATGGTGGGTAACTGGTTAAAGCATCGCATTATAAAGCTCTCGGAAGCCACTGCTACACGAGTTCAATCCCCCGCCAGGGACTGACCCATGGGGTGGCAGACCTCTCCTGACCCACCAAGGCTCCCCTCAGCAGTGTACTTTGTCAATCTGCTCCCCATTCTATCTCTCACCGCCCCCGCCATCTCTGGCCTGTACACCAGTTTTGTAAGCATAAAATAAGTAAATCTTAACAAGAAACCTAGCTTGACCACTGACAGCAGGGCGTGCAGCGGCAGTCTGCTGGCATCACGGTTGCCTAGCCCACCGCTGAACTAATTTGAAGTTTCCAGCCTACTGATACCATCACACCAATCACCTGCCCGCCTGGTACTCTTGGCCTGCCTCTGTGAGCCAGGGAGTCCAATGGAGGGAGGGGAGCACAATGGGATTAGGCAGCAGGGGGAAGTGGGAATTTACAGGCAAGGAGCAGGGTGCAGAATCAGTGGATAGAAAATTTTTCTCAGTGATAGGGATTAAGGCTAATGTGACATTATAGGGTTTTCAAGCAAGGTTATACATTACCAGGGAGATGGTAGAAGATGAGGAATCTGATCATACTAGTGTTTGGGGGAGAATTCTTGCTAAAACTAGAACTTATAAGAAAAGTACCCAGAAGTTTCTGGAACCTTTATAAAGTTCAGTCAACCAAAGAATCTGTACCATAACTCAACCCATACAACAGCTAGATATCATCTTTGGAGTGGGGCTGGTAATTTGTGTTTTTTTTTTTTTAACAAGCCCCCTAGGTTATATCAACCACCTTTCACGTGGAACTAGTAGAGAACCCAGGGGAGATGGTTCCCAAGGGAAGGGATCCTGATGAGTCCAATAGGGAAGACTCATAAAAAGGCTGGTAGGGCGAAAATACTGACTAGGGAGAAACACACAGAACAAAGTAGTGTGGAAGAAGAAGGTTGTATTTAGGAAAACACAAGAGTGGAGAGGGGCCAGAGATACGGTGGACAGTTTGTCTCCCAAGGCTGTACACTAGCTCTAGATGGATGGATGAATTGTGGCTTAGTCAAGAATCTACAGCCTCTGTCAAGAGAACTGACTAGAGTTGTTCTAGAGCTGCTAATAGCCCCTCCTCTGATGCTACAAAGATTACTGAGCTCCAACTGGTGATGCTAATCTCCCAGACTCAGCTGAGCCTTTCCATTTTGAAATTCTGCAGGGCTCTGTCCAAGGTCTCAAGCATTTCCACCCCCGCCCACCACCCCCACAACTCTTCCTTTTAGTTAATCTGAGGCTTCAAACTCTATTTACATGCTGATGGTCTGCATTTGCAAGTCAAGCTCAGAGTCCAACCCCCACAGCCTGATCTTGATTTACCAATTGCTTTCTACCGGGATATCTGGTAAGCACCTGAAATTTAGTGTTTCTCCAAAACAGAACTCCAAAAGTTGTTTGCCTTTCAGTAGTTCTGATTTCAGTTAGTGCCATCATTACACACCCACTCTTACCAAACTAGAAATCTGGCAGTCATTGTATGCTTCTTTCTCCAAATATACACCCAGTCACTTCAAATCCGTTCTTTGATCAGCATTCCAGCCACTGCTACAGTTCAAGTACACTGTCTCCAAGTTTGACTATTCCAATTACCTCCTAACTAGAGATGTGGGCACTTTTCCCTTTGGGAGGGGGTACTCTCAGATATAGTCAGCCCTTTCACAAACCTGACAACCATTTCTAATTGTGCCATAAATAAATTGACAACACACTTCTTCACTTAGGGTCCTGTCTTCCCCCTAATTTCCCCAAATTTATTTCTAATGGTGATGATTTTTGCTAAAAAAAAAAAAAAAAGCAAGAAACAAAAACTCATGAACAAAAGGTAAAATCTAAACAGGTCAAAATAGGGGAATAAAACTTCCTGATCCCCTCCTATTTTCTGACACTGGAGGTCTGGACTGTTGCCTGGAGATTGTGTGTACAGGTGTCTTCTGGTGACTCAGGCAAATTCAGATTTGTCAACCGCAGGGTCATTCCATTCTCATAAAAGTCCAACATATCACATTAAAGAACCCAGGCTTGTCCAGCCTCCCCTAACCTACTGCAAGGTGGAGGGGAAGGAGACAAACGGAAGAGTAGCCGGCACTAGCCAGCAGTTCTATATTGCATCCCGGTGCGTCCTCACCTGGATGAAAACTCTGGGTAATCTTGGGTAATCAGAAATATTAATGGAAAGAGCATCTGCGTAGATTAAAAACCCGACAGCAACCTAAAGCACAGTTCGGCTACCAAAGATATTCCTGCTCCAAAACACACTTGGAGAATACTGAACCACTCTAGCTAGCAAAGTTTGGTCGGCATTCCTCTACACTTCGCGATTTTAAGGGAAGCCCGTACAGACTTGAAAAAAGGCAAATGTTTTCGTATTCCATCAGTCATGCATTCGAAAAGTTGGAAACGTGAAGTAATTTCACAAGCCAAAGCACTCCTACCTATGTTAATGCAAACACAGCTTCAGGCTGCCATGTTTACCAGGACATGTGCACAGCAAACAATGTAACCGAGGGACCTTAAGCTCTCACTTCCTACCAACCAATTAAACGTTCCAGAAACTTTGCGGGCCATTTGCATAGCCACTAAGGCTCCTATTAACTCCTAAGCCCGCTAAACAATAGCAGGAGACTCGGTGCTAGCTGTTAGGAAGCAAACGCGCCGTTTGGGTTTTCAATTTTTTTCATTGCAGTGGTGGCGGCTTCTCAGCTCCTGCACTCGTTTTCAAATCGTTCCCATGGTCATTGTCTTCCAGGACAAAACGACGGGAGCGCTCGAGTGGCAGGTACAGCGTCCCGCAGAGTGCAGAGCGGCAGCGTCCGGCCAGGTTTGGAAAACATTCCCGGCCCTTCCAGCGGCTCGAGGAAAGTAGGTGGCCAGGGCGCCAAAGGCTGCTGCCAAAGCAACTCGCAACTTTTGAAATCAATCCTTTTTGCATCATGCAACGGATGCCACCGCTCCTCGGGTTTGCAACCCCCCACCCCTCCCCCGAGACCAATCATTGCCGCGCTCGGGCCTGCACATCGCTCCCGCCCCCTTCCCGGGCCGCACGCAGCCACCGAACCGCTCCGGCCGCGGCCCGCCGCCTCTTAAAGGGAGGTAGCCGGCCCTTAAAGGCCCCTCACGCGCGGCGCACGGCGGAGCGCGGCGGCCCCGTTCCCGGCAGGGGCCCGCCAAGCAAGGCCGAGCCCCCGCGACGCCCAGGCGCGGCCCGGGGCCCTCCGCCGGGAGCGGCATTTTTATTCAGGCGACGCTTAAGGGAGCCCGGCCGCGCCCGGTGCATTGTGGGAGCGGCCCGCGTCCCGTTTTCGGGAGGAGGAGGGCGCAAAGCGAACCGGTAAGCGCCTGGCTTAGGGAGGGGGGGGCGAGACACCAGGCTTAAAGGGGAATATTCGTCCGCAGGCCCATGGCGGCCGTGCAGATCCCCCTCCGGGCCGCCCGGACCCGTCGGGAAGTCGTGCACGGCCGGCGCTCTCCAGCACTGCCTGGAGAGGGGCAGAGCCAGGGCTTGGTGGGGCCGCTTTAAAAAAGAAGCACCGCCCGCGCCGCCGCCGCCGCCGCCGCGCGGAGCCGGGGAAGGAGGGAGGGAGGAGAGGGCGGGGGAGGAGTGGAGGGGGAGGGCGGCGGCGGCGATGCAGGGGTTAATTTTTTCGCCCGCCGACATTTTTGCGCGGCGGCGGCCGCGGCCCGCGCACGCAGCGGG